CTGGAGCCATTACCACCCGGATGGCACTCCGTCACCCTCCACTCCTCCAGTGATGCTCCAATGTCACGCTGAAGGATGTGCACTGTAGCCATCATGGCTGGGCCTGGGGGCGGGGAGCTGGGCCGGGTGGTAGGGCAGTCCTGCACGCTTCCCATCAGAGGTCCCTGGGCCCACTTCTGCCAACGGGATCCAGCTTGTCCTGAGTTGCTCTTGGTGCTGGCCATCCTGCCAGACATTAAGAGTCCCCCCCATAACTCCCCATTGCCCCACTGATCAAGTCCCCTGTCTCCAGTCAGTTAATGAGGCCTCTAGGCTTTGGCTCCTGCCCACCTATCTAACTTCAGCTCTGGCCACTTTGCTTAAATTCCCGACTCAGACAGATCTGGTGCACCAAATCCAATTCATGCACCTTCCCAGACTGACTCAGTCCTACCTGATCCCTCCTGCCAGTGACAAGCCTGGCCTCTGCCTTTGCCTCGTCTTCTAAGCCAGTAGCCTCAGTTTCCCCCAGGTGCAGGTCAGTCTTCCTCATGACCTTCATCAAGCCGAACTGCAGCAGCTGACACTTGGGTCTAAATCCATTGAGAGAGGCTCTGGATCCTTCTGCCACTTTCACATTCAGATAAAGCTCCATGCACGGGATGTGGGACCCAGCTTCCCCAGGGCTTCCAGAGGCACTAAGTAATAGCACCTCAAGGAGCAAATTGGGACTCCTGGCTTACCTCTCACCTCTCATGGATCCCTTCCTGCAGGCCACCCCCAAGCTGCTCCCACCTTGCAGGTTCCTGGCCCATGTGGAGATGAAGCGGGAAGCCTGCCCAGTGTAGCTTGCAGACACCTGAGCAGCTCCACCACCTCAACAGCTCTCATGGGAGCTGAGGGTTAGACTTCACCCCCAGTATGAGGTTTTCCGGGGCCACCTCCTAATTTTATAGGCGGAGGAACAGTAACTGGAGCCACTTCACTGTGCACCTATGTGCCTGGTACTTTTACACGTATTCTTATTGTTTTTGCAATATTTCACCCCTTATGGGCGAAGAACTGAGGCTCAGAGAGGGAGAGAGACTTGCCCAGGACCACAGGACTAATAAGTTGTGAAGCTGAGATGAAAACACAGGTTGGTCCAACTCCACAGGCGTGAAGTTTCCATTACACTTAGTTTTAAGATAGGAATCAGGAGCATTTCAGCCCCTGGAACCAGACTGCCTGCTTCCATCACACTTCTCTCTTCTGAGTCTCAGTGTCCCAATCTGTAAAATGGGGATAAGACTACCCTCGCACGGATTCGCCCCATATAACAGCTGAGTAAGAAATGAGAACTCAGAGAGGTAAAGTGGCTTCTCCAAAGGCCCTCAAGAGGAAGTGATGAGGGTGGACTTGAACCAGGCTGCCTGAATCAGGTGCTGGGTTCTTTCTGCCCCACCTCCCTGTCCCCTTGGCCCTGGGAGGAGTCAGTGGGGCCAAGTGTGCAGCACTGGAGTTTTGGGTCGGGACTGAAAGAGCACTGGCTTGGCGGCTGCTGGATGGGGCCTGGCTCCTGATGGGACTTTGTCCCCAAGCCTCACTCCTGGTTCCTGGGAAGGGCCACAAAGTGCAACAGCCCTGGCGGCTGCCCAGAGGGCCCTCCTGGGCTTAGAGGAGCCAAAGGAAGTCTGGTGAGGATGCTTGTTGAGGAGGGGCTCCAGGAACAGAGGGTTGAAGCCAACTGAGCCATGACCCAAGGGCACTGGGCTGGGCCGGGCCTAACCCCAGCCAGAGACCTGACCCAGACAAAGCCTGTGTAGCTTGTCCCTGCCCTGCCTTTCCTCCCCGATGACCATGGCACCCCTGCCAGCTGGACCACCAGCCTCCCACCATGAGAGAACTTGGCCCATGTATTCAGACAGCTGTAGGCTTGAATCTCAGCTCTGCCCCTCTGGAGCTGGCATGTCTCTGAGCCTTGGTTTCTGCATCTGTAACTTGGAGACAACAAGTCCCAGCTCATGGAGTCCATCACGGAGATTAGAGAGAAGAGACATAAGGAATGGGGCACATAGCAGGTATCAAGGAATCCCTGGTGGCATCTTCTCTCGGTTCACACACACCCTTGGGAGGAGATACTTTGGAGAATCAAGTCATCAAAGACGGGTCCTGCCTTCAGGAAATCCACATGCTTGGGGAGGTGGAAAGGCTGAAGGGGAAACGCTTGGGGTTTGGACCAGATCATCCTGGGTTTGAGTCCTGTGTGACCTCAGGAGAGTGGCTTAACTTCTCCGGACTTGCTTCCTCATCCATACAAGGGAGCTCATAATTCCTCTAATCGGGAGCACCCAGTGAGAGAATGGGATTGGAGGTGCTGTGTGAACTGCAAAGTCCCGGCAAGTGTAGGGAATCATGGGATATTCTCTTCGCTGCTGTTCCCATTTTTTCAGGTAAAGGAGCACACCCAGAAGGACAAGGTGACTGCCCCAGGTCACCTCTGGCAGGTGAAGGAGCTGGATTTCCACCACCAGGCTGAGTGGATGACTGCGGTATCTGAGGGCAACAGGTATTACAGGAGGAGGCAGGGGACAAAGGGTCCAGGGTTTCTCTCCCCTTCCCTGGTATCCTCTTGGGGTCAGGAGTGGGCACCAGGATGGGTGTGGAGGTGGCCTATGCCCATCAACGAGGAGTCTGGATCCGGGTGCCACTGCCAGCCCCCAGCTGCCTCCTGACATTCTGTCTCTAGGCTTAAGAATCTCCTGCCTGGAATATCAAGCCCCTTTTAGTATTTTAGTAGCCCTCTCTGCCTTCTGTCCCCTCAACCCCATCCAGGCTACCTTGGACATTTTAAATCCCAGAGTTGGCCATGCCCCACCTTGCTCAAACCCCTTCAGTGGCTCTCACCACCCTGGAACAGAGTCCAAACCCTCCCCTCAGCATTGAAAGATCCCTTGATCTTACCTCCTCTCCCTTCTCTCTCTCTCTCTCTCTCTCTCTCTCTCTCTCTCTCTCTCTCTCTCTCTCACACACACACACACACACACACACACACACACCAGGAGCCCGCAGCTCCTCCTACACCTCTGCCTTTGCTCCTGCTCTTTCCTCCACCGGGACACTGGGCTCCTGGAGGCTCTGCTCACATGCTGCCTCCTCTGCGACTGTGCCCTTGAACTTCCATGTCAGGATTACTTGCTTCTTCCCAGCAGACCCTCATCACGTGGTTTCCTCCTCCATGCGAGCACACATACTAGTAATCACAGATCAATGGCCCTCATTCGCAGAGCACTCCTAGTACTCTTTTTGACTCCTTACAACACCTTTGACCACCCCCACTATATGGATGAAGAAACTGAGGCTCAGAGGTGTAAGAAATTCTCCTAAAGTCAGACACCAAGCATGCCCAGGCATTCTGACTCCAGAGACAGTAATCGTAACTCCTCTACTGTACCACTTTGCTGTGAGTCCCCCCGCCAACTTTAAGAGAGTGGGGGTCCTGTGTGGTTCATTTAGATTTCACTAGCACTTAACCCTGTACTCAGAACTGGTAGGATCATTTATTGCATCCATGTGTTTTGAATGAAGTGTGAGATAACAGAGTGGCTGAGTCATAAGCACACTCTGTACTTTATTGAGCACCTACTATGTGCTGGGCATTAATCTACGTGTTGGGAATAGAGCAGTGAGTAAAATGCAAAAATTTCTGCATCAGGGAGTCTGATGAGAGGAGACATCTGCTGGGGAGAAACAGGCAACATAAAATAAGTAAATAAAGGATCGATGATAAAAAGGGCTATTGAGAGAAATTAAGTGGGGGATGACAGCATGGGCACGTGGGTGTCCAAAGGAGAGGCCCCTCTTCTGGGGTCCACTGGGAGAAGGTGATCCAAGAGGAGACAGCTCTTCGTGTGGGGGTAAAGGGCAGCATGGAGGGGTAGGGTAGGGTGGGGGAGCAGCTGGGTAGCGGGTAGGTGGGCCCAGGGTGAGGTCCCGCTCCCTTCTCCCCAACTTGCCTTGCCCTCACTTCCTTCACCTTCCTGTCTCCTGATCCTCTAACAGGCTCAGAAAAAAACAGCCCATGAAGGAGCCATCCAACCCCCCTCACCCCACGTGCCCCTCCCCCTTTCCCAACTCCCCCCAACCTCAGCTGTGACATGGAGGCACTAAAGGTAGCAGCGTGACGGGAAATGGCAGCCAAATTGCTGCTTCCTCGTTGGCCTTATTTATGGTCCTCGCTGTCTTCGCTCCTGCCCTCCGGCCCAGGCTGGAGGGGGGGGAGGAGGGCTATGCTAGCACATGATGACCTTGGCACATGGTGTCCTTGAGGATCCCTAGAGGAGCGGTGGCTTTGGGAACCTGGGTCCCTGCTTTTCATCTGGCAGCCCCAGGCATCCCAGTGTTATTCAAGCTGGGGTAGGAGAGGGGACTGACCCTTAGAAGACCTCTATGCCAGGCATTCCATGCACTTTCCTTCATGCCTTACAAGCATCCTATTGCTCGTGTAAGAAATGAGCAAACTAAGGCTCAGAAAGATTAGTTAATAAGCCCAAGGTCATACAGCAAGGAAAAGGCAGATCAGGATTTGAACTCAGGTTGCTCTGATTCAAAGGCCTTCACTTTGCCGTCTAGAACTCTGGGCTCCAAAGTCACTCTTTCTGTCTCTTGAAGCTCCTAGCAAAGACCAATGCAAATCATCAGTGAGCCACAGACAGAATATAGTAGGGTCTCAAAGCAGCTTGGGCTATAAGGACCAGACAAGCCTTAAGTTCTAGTCTCAACGATACCACATCATAACTGGTACTGCAGCCAAATCTCTTTCCCTCTCTGGGCCTCAATTTCCCCATCTGTAAAATGGACAGCATTATACCCTTCCTCTTAACCTGTTTTTAAGGGTGGACGAGATGGATGCCAGACAAGAAAGTCTTTGAAGAAGGCGCTGTTAGGAGACAGTGCAGTCATGGTGCGATCAAAATCCAGGAGAGGGTTAAGGAGAAAGGAGCTTTTATTGTTCCAGCAGCAGCAGCAGCATCTTTGCAGCAAACTTCACCTGTTTACAGTCCATTAGAAGCCATTATTGCTGTGTCTGGGGCAGATGCACACCCCTGACCTTGACGCGTGTCTGACAGCCGCAGGAAGCAATCTGGGGAGCAGGAGTCATTCTGGCAGCATTTAAAGGGCCGCAAGGGGCTGAAGGCCTCTTCCAGTGTCCTTCTCCCTCCCGACTCCTAGTCCACAGCCTCTGCCATCCAGAGGACGGAGGAAGGGGCCCAGCTCACACTCCAGGTGCCCAGGCGTCCCCCAGCCCTCTTGGGGTTCTCCAGGTCACCACCTTTACATTTCTACCTTAGAAGAGCAATAAGTGAGTTAGGAAGAAACAAATAGACAGCTAGGCCTGCAGGGACCTCAGAGGAGTTTAGTGCAACCCCCCTCCTAGTGTCCAAGAAAGGAAGGGACGTGCCCAAGGTCAGGAGAGCCAGAAAGAGAACTGAGCTGCCTAGGCTCTAAGATGCTAATGGGGGGGGGGGGGGGGCTCAGGCAGTGACCACTGGCGTGTTGGCAGTAGGCAGGGCAGAGAGGAGGGTTTTATATCATATTGCACAGGCAGTTGTCACCTCTGGCTTCAGGAAAGGCAGACCCTGGGTGCGGGTGGCTCCAAGCCAAGCTTCTTCTCACCAGCTTCAACGGCCTGGGAGAGGGAGGGAGGGAGGGCAGGAGATGCTGCCGCCGATGGAAAACCAGCAGCGTCTCAAAGCCCTTGCTTTCCTTTTCTGCCCAACTCCCCTTTTCTGCCTTTTCATAATGTTCCCCAAAATATTCAGTGCTCCCAGATCTTATCTTTATTCCCCTTCAACACTCTTTATTTTTTCAAGAAAAAATTCAAAACCGCACTCATACTCAAGTGTAAATGACTGATAACTCTAAGGCAGTGGCACTCCCTCATATTTTAGCAGGACTTTAAGAAAGAAATAGGAAGAGAACCACACATCTCCCTCTCCCCACCTAATTACAGCACCATCTTTTACTAGTAAGTTCTTATCTTTCAGGCTAGCACTCAAAAGTTTCTCTTTCTGGCCCTAGCTGGTTTGGCTCAATGGATAGAGCATTGGCCTGTGGACTGAAGGGTCCCAGGTTCGATTCCAGTTAAGGGCACATGCCTGGGTTGCAGGCTCAATCCCCAGCAGGGGGTGTGCAGGAGGCAGCCAATCAATGATTCTCTCTCATCATTGATATTTCTATCTCTCTCTTTTCCCTTACTCTCTCTGAAATCAATTAAAAAATATTTTTTTTAAAAAAGTTTCTCCTTTTGGAAGCCTTCCTCAAACCCTCCCCCCCCCCACCTCCCCCCCCCATACCTCTCCACCCGCGCCGGCTGACCGGCATCTCTCTTATACACCCTCCCAGAACTGAATTCCTTCTCTTTAGAGACCTTCATCTTTTGGTGTGATTACTTCTTGCACAGCTGTCCCCTGCACTAGACTTTTTTGCTCTCCAGTGTATATTCAGCAACTAGGAAAGTACCAGCACATAGGAGATGCTCAATAAATATCTTTTGAATGAATACATGAAGTTTTGCGTGAATGAAGCCTGAGACAGCTATAGAGTTTGGACTGCCTTCATTCCATGAAAAACAGCCCCCTGAAAGTAGTGACACTCTCCGATGACATGTAGTGCAGGGGTGGGGACTGTCCAGCCCATGGGCCATATAAGGCCAGCAAAATCATTTGGTTTGGCCCTGAGAAGTCATTAGGGGTGACTTAATTAAAAACTTGACCAATTATAGCAGGCTAATTTTTTAAATATATATTTTTATTGATTTCAGAGAGGAAGGGAGAGGAAAGGAGAGGAAGGGAGAAGAGGGTGAGGGAGAGGGAGGGAGGGAGGGAGAGAGAGAGAGAGAGAGGGAGAGAGAGAGAGAGAAACTCTGATTGGCTGTCTCCTGCATACCCCACACTGGGGATCGAGCCCACAGCCCGAGCATGTGCCCTGACCAGGAATTGAACGTGGACCTTCTGGTTCATAGATCGACGCTCAATCACTGAGCCACGCCAGCAGGCGAGCAGGCTAATTTTTAAGTTGATAATTTGTATGGCCCATGAATGATGGCATAAATATCCAAATGGCCCTTGGCAGAAAAATGGTTCCCCATCCCTGCTGTAGTGGATCCAATTAGTGTCCAATCCAGAGGCACACCCATCCCCCTGCTGCAGTAGGGTTGGATGCCTGCTCAATGGCTGTGCCCTTCTCTGCAAAATTGCCCTTAGCTGATCGAGGTCACCTCTTCTGGGAGGTTCCAACTCCCTTTCTCAGCCAGGGGCAGCCCACAGCCAGTGACAGCTGGCAATGGGGTACAAAAGGTTGCCCTCCTTATCTCAGGTCAGGGACCACCCTGTGGTGCCATTTATGCTCCAGAGCCCTCTGTGAGTCAAGCCAAGGGTAGACTTTACCTGAGATAATATCCTTGCTTGTCCGCTTCCCTCTCCTTCTCCTGCTCCCCTCCCTCCTTAGTGGTTTTTCTAAAGAGCACTACGTCAATATACCCCGTGCACCGATTCCCTGTCTGCTCTGCTTCTAGGACCCCCAACCTGGAACACCACTTCCCAAGTTTGTCATGGGCTCTAGGTTAATGACCTTTCCCTATTGAAGAATTAGTATTTATTAAGCACTCACTATGTGCCAGAGTCTGTGCTGGAAGCACTATATCATTTATATATATTGCAACCACCTGATGAGATAGGTCCTATTATTATCCCCATGTTGTAGAGGAAGACTGAGGGTCAGAGAGCGTTCATGACTTGCCCAAGGTCATACACTGGATAAATAGTGAAAAAGGGATTGGAACCCAGTTCTAACCAGTGAGGTGATGATGGCTACCTATCATTGTAAAACAGGATGACTATTGTAATAGGACAGGCAAAAGAAGGAAAATCAGGAGCTGGGGAGGATGGTAAAGAAGACTTCTCAAAGGAGGAAACATTTGAATCTTGAATGATTAGGAGCTTTTCAGGTAGATGACGGGGAGGGAAGGTATGCAAGAAAGAGGGAACAGCATGTGCAAAGGCAAAGCGGTAGAAATAAGCATGTGTTTCATATGGTTTCAACAAAAAGTGCGATGTACATTGAAAGATATGCTTCAGATATAGGCTGGGACTAAGCAGAGGAGTAACATGGGCTAATAATAATAACATAATGTCCAGGATGGAAGATGGATTGGAGAGAAAGACCAGACCCCAGGAGGCTAGTTAGGGGAAAGAGGGTGAGGTCTTTTAAAGCTATGAGGATAAAGAAACGTGGGTAAATTCAAGAGAGAGTGATCTGGGAGATAAAAATAGCAAGATTGGGAGGATGGATACAGGAAATGAGGGAGAAGGAGCCTCGATAATGTCCAGGTATCTGTCTAGGATAGTGCCACTTTCTGAAGTGAGAAAAAAAGGGCAGGTTTGGGCAGGAGGGGGAAGAGCTCAGTGCTGGACACGCCAATTGAGGATTTCTCCAGGGAACACTGGCAGCTCAGGGGCAGTAGGTAAATGGCATATCCCTGCTGCAGCTCAGGAGAGAGGTGGGAGTTGTTCTGTATCAAAAACTCTGATTGGCTCTTTGTGACATCATAGAATTGGGAGGGGAGTAGTAAATGAAGCCCTTGACCATAAAAATATTGACTGGTCTAACTGTCTTTTGTGTTGAACTCATTGTCCCAGGTGAGTTTGCCAGAATTGAATTATTTCAAACTAAGCTCTCTGGACTTTTTCAAAAATTTTTAGGATCATGAGCTTCCTGCTGCCAGGTGCCTTCTCCCCACCCCCCTGCACCCTGACCAAATCCTTTACCCACCTCTCCCCCACATTGCCTTTCCAAAAAAAGAAAGGGAGGAAAAATGGTGGAATGGATGATTTGGGAGCTGAAAACCTCCAAATGGGGAGGTTATATCCTCGAGACAGCAGCATCCATCACCACATTTTCATTATTAAGTAACATCGCAGTATGCTGGGCTGATTCTGCACCTTATCTGAACCTAGCAGCTGTGCCCTAAATTCCAGCCGTGGCGCCTGTCTGCAGGAATTCAGTTGCCTGTGTTTAAAATGAGTGTTAGCATCTATCATTTCCCCACACCAAATGGTTTTGTGTCGGTGGTTGGCAGAGCTAATCTGTCACTGGGGTACTCCACTGCCCGGCTCGATACCCTCTTCGTCACTGTTGGGGAGAGAAGAACAGGAGGCCCCCAGGATGGGGGAAATGTCACTGTGAGGACAACTGCAACATTTGGGACTCTCTCTCTCTCTCTCTCTCTCTCTCTCTCTCTCTCTCTCTCTCACACACACACACACACACACACACACACACACACACACACACACAAATGGGAGTAAGAGAAATGCCATCTGCGTATTACAGGCTCTGACTTCCTATGCCACTGATTCTGGGCAGCCTGGAGTCTTCCATCATCTATCCTTTGGGTCAGTGTGGAAGTTGGTGGGACTTTGCCACAGACCTCAGGGCATGACTGTGGTGTTGAATGGCTTTGGTGCTGTCTGTGGTTTTCAGCTCTCGAGGGTGCAGAATCAAGAGTATGTGCTGAAGAGGATAATACACCATCTGGTATGATATGTCTCAACCTCTTTTGAGACTCAAAAACCTTTTAGGACCCTCTACTCAGATAAATATACAAAACCCAAATTTTTCTCATCCACACCAGATATAGTTTAACTTCCTTGTTTTACAGAAGGAGTAGCTGAGCCTCATGCAGAGGAGGCTATTTGTCAAAGTTTTCCGTGTGAGCAGGAAGAATTTTGGGCAGGGTAAATGAATCTAAGGAGTGAGATCTAGTTGGAAAATAAGGGTTTCGGAGCCCTAAAGGACTGGGTGTGAGTAAGCTTGTTGTTACTAGTTTTGTGGCTTACGGCAAGTAGATACACTCTCCAAAATTCAGTTTTCTCATCTGTGAGACTGGATGGTAACATCTAGTTTGTAGGATTTCGATAAGGATTAGTGTTAGCGAGCATGACATGCTGTGGTGGGTGCTAAGATGCACACCCAGACCTCCCTTCAGAACTGAAGGATTTATTCCACCAGTGAGGGTGCCATTGGCAGAAAGCCACCAGCGATCAGTCCCTTACAGGAAGTGCCTCAGCTGGAGAGACTGGTAACACCTCTTCCTGGGGCAGCCTGCATCCAATAATGGATATGGCAGTGTAAAGGCTCACCCCAACTCTGGGCAACTCTGAAATATCATCCCAGCATCAGAACCATCCATAGGGTTGGCTGAGGCCTCACAGCCCTACTTTTCCTCTGCCCAGGCCCACTTCCTTCCCTTCCATCCACAGGTGTTGACCCTAAGAGCACTCCTTCACAAGCACCCTGCATGCTGACCTCCACCTTCGAATCTGCCTCCCAGAGAACCCAATCTGTGATGCAAGGCCAGTCCTGTTGGTTAAAAGGCTCTTGGTTGAAAAGCTGTTAGTTCTGGTCTTTCCACTGGCCCAGTCCTCTTCTCTCTCAGTCCACTGATTTGATGCCTCTTGGAAAAAGATATTTGGGCTCCTGTGATTCTTTCCGTCCAACCCTCGGCCTCTAGGCATCAGAATGCCTCAAAATGACCAGGCAGAGGTGCCTAAGCTACCTGATGAAGAGTCACTCAGACACCCGCCTCCCGGCTCCCCCCTGGAGATGCTCACTTCCCCCCTCATATTCATTTGGTCCTCAAAGCATGCCCGGGCAGGAGCAGCAATATCTGCAGCCAGAAAACTCACCTGTTCAATATTCAGCCAATGGTTGATGGGCACATGCTGTGTGGAAGGCTCTTACCTTAGGGAGCTACAGTAAGAGATGTTCATTCACTCCGTTGGCCATTCCACCAATACTTATGGAGCCAAGCCTTCTGTTGTGCCCTGGAGAGACAATGGTGAACAAGAAAGATGAGATCACTGCCCCCAAAAGGCCACAGCTTAGCATCTCCCATTCCAGTAGGTTTTCCTCAGGGTTTTGTTCCTTCTTAGTTATTAGGGAGCTCTTCCTTCTGCTAATCAAAATCCCTTTGACTTTAAGCTTGTCACATGCTTATTTTCCATCCCGTGTGGCTCTTATCTCACCTTTGAAGAGCCTCCTACCCACCAGTCCTTGCATATCTCTCACCTTCTCCCTTTTTAAGCCAGAATCATCTTTTTCAGATAACTCTAAGCTTAATCAGACCGACAGTAAAGAGGCCAAGGTCAGAAGACCATTCACCCACATTGGTTCATTGGCACCACTTGGTGACCAGATGGTGCCTACTCCTAATCTTTGCCCACCCTCCAGGCCTGAACCCAGAGGGTGGGCGAGACTGCCCATCACTGGCTGAAAGCAGCATTTGCCTTGATGAAGGGCTGTCTTGCTGTCCTTAGTGTCCCTCTGCAAGGAATAATTATACTTCAGATTATGAAGATTGGAAAACTGAATCACAGAGCTAAGAAACTACTTGGGCGAGGTCACACTACTCTAGTGAGGTTGAACTTCTGCCACTGAACTGAAAGTGAGAGATTGACACATGCAAACACATGGACAGGAAGAACAAGCAACAGGTAAGAAGAGAGGTGAAGACGGGGAAGAGAGAAATGTAACTGGGGTCAGAATGAGAGAGAGGCAGAGATGAGTGAGAGAACTCAGCCCGAATGATGGCTTCTTTACTTTCCAGAGGCATTTATCTTTCATTTGACCTTATAAGAGTCTATTTGTGTTGAGATTTTAAATTGATTTTTTTCTTTTTAAAAAACATCCTTTTGCAGTTAGCACGGTTCTGTATTAATTTTTATTCATGCCAGTGGGTTCGGTATTTATTCTCCTTCAAAATCACTGAGTTGGAAGGGACAGAGGGAAAGTCATTTGGCTTTGTGTTTGTCTGGACTCAGAGCCTGAGACCCAAGGGGTGGGGATGAAGTGGGGCGGGGATCAGGCTGAAAACTGGAAGGAGGGGTGCCCCACAGTGTTGTCAGCCACCTGACTTCTGTTCAAACCACATTGCATGTTGTGCTGTTGGTGCAGAAACCCCTGTGTAAGGGGGCTGGTGAAAGAGCCAGAGCCATGAATCCCCTCGATCCAGCCATTCAGCACCCGGAGGTGGTGTCTGAACTGGATCTTGATGCTGTTGGGAAACCAAAAGTCAGTGTGGCCTAGAGGCTGGGTTTGGGTCTGGGAATCTGACTGCCTGGGTGTGTGTCCCAACTTCACCACTTGCTGTGTGAATGGCCTACACTTCACCTCTCTGGGCCTCAGTTGCCCTCATCGGCTAAATGAGATCAGTAAGAATGATGTCCTCCCAGGGCTAGTGTGAGGATTAAGGAAGTGACTGCTCATGAAGACCTTGGCCCAGTGCCTCGGACCCAACAAGTGTTGAATAAATGTTTGTGCGTTGCATGAATGTAGTTTGTGCGCTTGCACAGGAATTCTGTGCAAGAGGAGTCATGGAATGTGACTAAGTACATAGGTTCTAGAAACAGATAGACCTGGGTTCAAACTGTTGTATATTTCTCTGTTGGCTGGGAGTCAAACTGCCTGGATTGTGTCCTGGCTTCACCACCACCCCTGTGTAACCTCAAACCAGTCCATTACTTCTCTAAGCCTCTGTTTATTCATAATTAAAAGGGAGATGGCGATAATACCTATCTCACAGTGTGGCTGGGAACTGAATTGGAACACACATATAAAGGGCTTAGCATGGTGCCTGGCATACAGTAACAGCTCAATTTAAAAACAAAACACACCCACACATAGGAACTCACAAAGCAGAGAAATGCAGGGGCAGGGTTTGAAAACAGATGGTACAGCAGCAGCAAAGGCCCAGAGGCGTAAACCGGTACATTGTGATGAGGAGATTGGAAACAATAAGGCAAAACTGGGGCAAAGAGTGAGTAGCTTTTGGCCATGTTGTTCCCTCTCTCTCCCCATACCCTCGAAGGCTAATGCCTTCAGGTCTCCTCTAAGATCCCTCCCCTGATCCCCCTATCTGAGTGTCTGGATATTCTCTCACTGAAGCTTGTTGACTTTCTTCATAGCTCTTATCATTGTTTGCCTCTGTGTATTAATTTATTGGTTTGATTCATAGCTGTCTCAAGATTGCAAGCACCATGAGGGGCCTTATGTTCAGTACCTTGTACAGGACTTTCCACACGGCAGACATTCAATAAATATTTGTCAAGAGGAAGGAAACAAGGGAAAGAGGGAGGAAGGAAGGGTAGGAGGGAGGGAGGAAGACACCATGAGATACGAGTTCTTTATGCCCATTTTACAGATCTAAAGAGGCTCAAATAAGTGAAGTCCCTGCCCATAGGCCCATAGCCACTAGGAAGCTGTGATGTAAACAAACCACCAAGTTTACTCTTCCCTCTAGACCAGCAGTCGCCAACCGGTGGTCTGCAGACCACTGGTGGTCCGTGAGGTCCGAAAGGTTGGTGACCGCTTCTCTAGACCACTGGTTGTCAGAGATGATCTTTCTTTTAAATTGTTGACACTATTGCAGATGTCTCCATTTCTCCCCTCTTTCCCCACCTACACCCAGCCCTGACCCCTCCCTCTGGCCTTCACCACACTGTTGTCTGTGTCCATGGGCTATGCATATATGTTCTTTGGCTAACTTCTTCACCTTCTTTCATCCAATCCCCCTCCACCCCCTTTCCCTCTGACATCTATCAGTCTATTCCATGTATCCATTCCTCTGGTTCTATTTTGTTCGTCATTTTATTTTGATCATTAGATTCCACATATAAGTGAGATCATATGGTATTTGTCTTTCTCTGACTGGCTTATTTCACTCAGCATAATAATCTCCAGGTCCATCCTTACTGTCTCAAAAGGTAAGAGTTCCTTCTTTGAGATGATCTTGACAGTACAAAATATATAGCCAATTATATAGCAAATGCCCATGGACCCAGCACATGGTTTAAAGACCAGAACATTATGGAGACCTTTGAGGTCCCCTGAGTTTCCCTCCTAGACCCCATCCTCTTTCCCTGCTCCCAGGATGGAACCGCCATCCCGACTGGCTGTTTAGCATTTTCATGCATGCTTTGATATGTTTTATTCTGGTGTGTATGCTCAAACAGTATTGCTTTATATGTTTTTAGACTTTGTATAAACAGCACCATCCTCTGTGTATCTTTCTGCAATCTACGTTTTTTAACTAAATATTATGTTGTGAGCTTCTTTCCCACAACTCAATTTCATTTCTTTTCACTGCAGTATATCAGTCCCCTGGATAAATAATTCATGGTTTATTTACTTATTCTCCCCACTGATGGACATATAGGTTATTCCCAGCTTTATGCAACATGTAAACCTTTCTTGAAAAGAAATTGTTGGTGGAAACTTGACATAAAAAGCAGATAAAAGTGTAACTGCTTTGTTTGCATTGAGGAAGAGGCTGTCCCAAGGGTCTATGATGGGGTTCTGCTAGCAGGAGGTCTGCAGATATTTCTGGGGCCTTCCTTCACATCATTCTTTGAAAGTACGCAACAGGGGAGGCAAAAGGAGACAGGACCATGAGAAAGAGCTTGACTTCGCATCAAATTTGAGTCTGCAGATTCAGAGATTCCAAACATTCCTTGTTGAGTCTTTTCTGGCTCAATCCAACCTTATCTTCAGATATACACACATGCACACACACACACACACACACACACACACACACACACACACACTTTCTGTGATCCCAGCACGCATCATGCTTGGTCTCACTTCTGTTTCATACTCTTCCTGCCTGGTGTGCCCTTCTTACCTTCTTCAAGTCCTACCTATCATTCAAGGCCCAGCCCCAGGCTCACCTCCTCCATAAAACCTTCCCTGACCATCCCAGCTGGAGCCATGTCTCCTGGACAGCTCATCTCCATCTGAGTTGGGTCAAGTAAAAATTAGGCTTGTTTGGATGCTTGTCCCGGGTCAGTTGAGGCAGATGAACTCCAACTGCTTACTAGACTGTTCCCTTTTAGTGGCCTCCAGGACCCTACAGGATCTGGCCCCGTCACTTAACTTCCTGTCTATTTTCCTCCTTTCTCACCTTGCTTCCGGCCTCCTTACTGAACCTGACACATGCCCACCTTACTCCCACCTCAGGATCTTTGCCCGGCATGCCCTTCCTCCGGATACTCACAAGGCCTGTCCCTCACTTCTTTCACATCTCTGCTCCAACACCCCTCAGTAAGGCCTTTTCTGACTACTCAATGTATTTGCTCTGCTAGATCTTCTATCCCTTTTCCTGATTTATTTTCCTCCGTAGCCCTTGTCATCATCTAATATATCATATATTTCACTTATTTTTCTTGTTTATTAACTATCCCCTTGATTAGAATGCCAGCTCCACGAGGGCAGGAATTTTTGCCTGTCCTGCTCACTGCTGCAAATGCAGAGCTTAGAACAGTGTGCCTGGCCCATAGGAGGAGCTCAATACACATTTAATGAATCAATGTCTTTCAGTTTCTTCATCTGTAAGATGGAAATCCCTCCCTAAATCATGACATTATGAGGAGCACATGAGTTAACAAATGTAAAGTGGTGTTTAAGAAACACCACCCCTGCCCCCAAGAAGGTCTATAAAGAGTTCTGTCAACTGTGAGTTGACTACCCTTGGAGTTGCTGCTGTCCTTCTAGTGGCAACTGCTGGAATTACAGGCATAGTGCTTGGGGAAATACAAGCCTGTTGTTAGGAACCAAGCTTAGTGAATCCCCTTTCAAGGCTAGCAAACATGCCCAGAACTCTGAACAAGGCTCCCAGGAGCAGAGCAGCCACCAAATGTTTCAGAGACTTCCCCAAGCCCAGGTCTGCCTCTGCTCCCTTCCTGGGTCTGGTTTTCAATTCTGTTGCGCTGTCTGCCTTTGCCTTCATTGTCCCTGCCTGTCATGGAGGGGTTAAAGAGTGGGGAGC